CATTAGTTAATCACAAGAACAGTTTAATGAGAAATTAGACAATCCGTGGGGATTTATTGCTTTAAAAAATAATAGGATCTTCTAAGAATCGTAATAATGGGGCCCCATAATAACAAAGCACCCTGACCATCGCACAGTGTTATATCATGTTTTAAGTATATGCATATTGAGTTCTTAAAGCTTATATAAAACCTTAGGTGAGGTAATAATGAATAGTGTTATAAATAAATTGTGATATTTATCATAGCATCCACCCACACTTTTTTTTACGTTCATAACACGGATAAAGGATGGGTACCTAAGCTTGTTTCTACATATTACAACCTGTATACATCCCAATTATTATTTGAAGGTGTGATACCGTAGAACATTTCTTTGACCGATACAAGCCTCATTGCTGAGATATAATCATTGTAATTTATGCGCTAACAATACACTTGGACACTGCATTGTTTATTATGACCGGTTTACTTATCTGATTTTTTTTTCACTACAGTATCGTGCCACTGTCATAAAAGTTTACATTATAATGTGTGTGTGTGTGAAGGGAGGGAGACATCTGCATTTAGCTTTTTTTATTTTTTATATATATATAAGTTTTAAGCCTATTAGTTTCCCAATATTTCACCGGATTTCCGCGTTTGAATCAATCACCTAGAGTGGTAATTTATTCTTGAACATCACCATGCATATTAACAAGTACACGTGGAAAGTATTTGATACTTTCATTTATAATCATATACAAATTGGGGAAAAAAATAATTCCATCTTAAACACAGAGTGATTTGATTTGAAAAGCGTGACAATAAAATGTTTTTTCACTAATTCAATAAGTCTTGTAGAACACTGAGAGAAGACAATATACAGGAATGTTTACTATTTTTATTTCTTATTATTTCAGTGAAGACGAAGATTACTAGCCTTAAAGTTAATCAACACTTTATCTAATAAAACTATTTAAGTTTTGTAAGAAGCCTTATTAATATGAATACCTTATACAGTTTTAAGTGAGCAATGTTAGAGAATTCCTGAATGTACATATAAAATAAAAGATAATTACGATGAAAATTCGAGCACCAATCCTTCAAAAGTACATTTACAAACAAGAAAAAGTAAAGGAAAATTAAACCAGGAAGGACGTTGCTTTAATGAAATTTAGCTTCACTTAGCACTTTAGTTAATTTAATCGGAACATCTCTTAACGTAATCAAACGTGTTCAATTAGTAATACAAAGCAAAATAAAAATAAGCCAAATATGTGAACAAAACCTGTTAGAAAATTTAAGTTTTTTTTTTTATTAATACCAACCTTACATTCAAAACTTAATGGCTAAGTAATGCTTAGATGACAGTGATCAAAGTATTTGTAAAATAAGTGGTTTATTTTAACCAGTTCTTACTTTCCACGTGAATTAAAATTGAACACGTGTTATTTTGTAGAAAGACGCGTGCAAACAATTCAGATTTTTTTATAAATAGATGCGGTCAACTGTGACTTAATGTGTGGGTCTTTGTTTACGAGTAGACACATAACGTTGACTGTTGTTTACCGCTGGGTATCGAACCCCGGATTTTAGCCTTGTAAGACTGTAAACTTACCACTGACCCACCTGGGGACATTTTCATTATGACAGAAACACGACTTTTAATAAATAAATTTTCCAAAACACTGACTTAAAATATATCTTTTTTTTTTATTCTCATACTCTGTATATAGATCTTTTTTTTCCTATTTATTATACAATAGATAAATGGCTTTTAACATAGTTTAACTTTAAGTAGAAAAAAAAAGAAAAATGAATTTGCTAGTTTTATTGTTAAGGGCAAAACTACACAATGGGCTATCTCTGCTGTCCCCACCACGGCTATCGAAATTCGTTATGTTTAGACTTGCCGCTTCTCCAGTGTGGGCAACAATATATATAAATTATTTTTAATATGGCGCAGTAATACCGTGTCTTATTTGCCTTTTTTAACGGTTTTTTTTTGTATTTATCAGTCTTATTAGATGTTCACTTTTGCTTTTTCCCACATTCTAACAACAACATAACAAGCAACACGGAATCCGTAATAGGAGCGGCACCTCATTCTTTTAAGCAGGATTAATGTAAATTAATCCAGGACTTTTTTTTTCTTTCTTTTATTAGCTATATTTTTGTGCGCAAGCAATACCAAGCGTGGGGCGTGCGTATACCCGATTCGATTTTACTAAACATCAGGATTTCTACCATCCTACCCTCAAATTGAAATTCTTTTAGGCAGGATTAGAGTAAATTAATCTACGAGATCTTGGGCGTGGTCAAATACATCAATCGAAATGGTTTGACCTCCTGTATTTAGATTTCAAATCGGTCAAGAGATGATGGAACTATGAACTAAACGTTTATGTTAAAAAAAACAACAACAAAAAACTCTGAGCCGTTATGCCGCAGCTAAAAAAATGTACCAATAAATTATCCTTATGACATTATGAAACAACCATGTATTTTAGAACAGTAGCCCCCCAGTGGCACAGCGGTATGTCTGCGGACTTACAACGCTAGAATCCGGGTTTCGATACCCGTGGTGGGCAGAGCACAGATAGCCCTTTGTGTAGCTTTGTGCTTAATTCCAAATAATAATAATAATAATAGAACAGCATCGTCTAATCAGTGAATTTCAAAAATTGTTTAAGTACGACCTAATTCGATACGTTTGTCGATTATTTTGTTTATTTCATTTGTATTAACTGTTCCTAATTTAGAAGTGATGGACTAGAGGAAAAGCAGCTAGTTAGTAAGAGGGAATCCTCAATTAGCCACAGCACTTAATACTTTAAAGCGTGGGGCGCGCGCATACCTAATTCTATTTTATTACTCATCAGGATCTCTACCAGCCTACCCTTAAATTGAAATTATTTTAGGAACGATTAGAGTAAATTAATGTAATATATTTGTGTTCAAATAATCAGTCGAAAGGGTTTGGCTTCTTCAGTCCAAAAATGTAATCAGATCTCAAATCGGTTAAGAGGTGACAGACCTACGAGCTAAACGTTTGTACTTGCGGGAGGGGGGAGAGGGAACATTTACTCAGCTATTCTATGAGCCGCTATAACGCGGCTAAAAATACAATCTTCTCTTGTTTTGGATATTGTGTATCAAGCATTTGAGAATTGTGTTCAAATTTGTGAACATCTAAATCTCGAAAGTGGTTCAAAGTTTGTAATATATATATATATATATATATATATATAGTTTAAAATACAATATCCAAAAGGACATTGATTAGAAATGTCCACACTGAGTCAGAAAAGATGTGAAATCTATGTAAAAAGTGGCTTAAATGCATAATTACTTTATTTGCAGCAAGATTTATTGAAGACGTTAATAATGCAGTCCCTTTATATTATATAGAGGGTTGAGTACATTATATTCAAACGATTTTATACGCAAATCGGCTAGTCATGTAACAACCACAGCAGATGTCGCGGCGGGACCCTTCATATGAAATAGCATGAATACCCGTGCCAATCTCCCAGTGCTTGTAGAAGAGTGGATAAAGTCGTGAAAACAATTTATGACACGTGGCTTCCGTCACTTTTACAGATAAATTATTTTTTATTTTGTTGCACACTGTTGCTTGGGGCACGTGGACTGACTGCTTTTGCCATTGACCTTCGTGTTCGTGTATTCTCACATATTACAAGATGTCGCATTTTTCTTACCGTGACTGGTACGACTAGTTGCAGGTCTTTTTCTGAATGGCGCTGGGACCCCAAATTGATTCGTATTATTTTGTTTTACAATGTCATTAAGAACAACGGATATACCCAACCTGGAAATTATAAATCCCCGATCAGAACACGCCTTTGTGAATCTAAGTTTGTGAATACTTTGAGAATGAAAAAAAAAACTTGTATACTCTTTCCGAAAGCGATCAACTTTCGGGTGGGGGTGGGGCAATCACACTACCTTTGAAATGCTAAATAATGTTAAAACGTAGTTTTGATACATCCACATACCGGTCAGGTTGCTGAATGCAGTGTGTTTCTTTCTTATAAAACTATAGAATCAGGTGTTGAGCAACCATTGTCCTTTTATACTATATGAAAAACACGCATGGAGGGGTGTTGTGGTGTGAAGAGGACAACTTTCCAACGGAATCTTTTGCACACAAAGTACGCTCAGAACTATTGTCAAAATACACATTCGTCAGATAGAGAATGACCAGACGTGACGACATGAATTGTAATGACGTGGTGAGGCTCAAAACTGGTTTCAATATTACGTACTCAAGCTCTGCATGATTAGATGGGGGAGGGGAACGTTCGACCAATTCTCCTGAACATTACAAAATTACCAGCACGTCACAGGCATGCATTTTCCTGTAAAAGCATTTGTTTTTATTATAATAACTACGGAAAAGATTTTCATATTTTTCGTAGTTATGTGAACGCCGTGAATTGATTCTGAAAATTAAGTTAGTTGCAGAAACAAATTTCAGAATAAAATGAACTTTTGTTTGTTCTGTTAGTTGTTACTAAGCTCAAAGCAAAGCTACACAACGGGCTATCTGTGCTCTGCCCACCACGGGTATCGAATATTGAATCCCGATTTGTTGCGTCGTTAAACTGCAGATTTACCGTTAAGCCACTAAGGGACTCCGAATTAAGTACTTAATTTACATAAATTCAACATAATATCTCATTTTAACTTCTAAGTAGTTCACTAACTACTTAATTCCTTTGTATTGTCACTTCTTTCAAAAACAAAACAAACTAATAGCTTCATATTTCACACACACACACACAGAACTCGAAACAGGTTTTGTCGTGTGTGAAAAAGCTTGTTTTATTTTACAACTGTGGATAAAATGCCTCCATGAGAAAGGGGGAGGGAAGCCAGTTGGAAAGAAACAACAGTAAAATTTACGACCTCAAGATAATGTTTTATAATTTAAAATAATCAAATAACTAAATATTTAATTGAAGTTAATAAGTAAATAGAAAAATCATTGTAATTTCCTTTAGTAATAAATTATTTTAATTTAAGTTATTGCTTTAATAATAAATAATTATATTATACAAAATTCTTAGGAGGTCAATATCAACAGTCTTAACTTCAAGCAAACAAACTGAAACAAAATATGACAAGCACAACAAAACTATCCTTGATTCGACGGTCACGACTCTTGCCCGTGGTATGCTCTATACCAGTTTCTATCACATTCGGCATCAGAAAGGTCCAAGGATTCTTCTCCAGTTGCTACCTGCCGCTGATCGGTTTTATTGGTCCTGCCGTTTGGAAACCTACACCCAATAATTTAGTGATAAGGCATAAATAAAAGTATAGAGGAAGTAACGTTAATTAGCTATCTAGAAAAAAACAATTAAGCTAAGATGTTAAAAATATTATAATGAATTAATTATTTATATTAAAATTACATTTTCAATACTATTAACAATTTTGATTTTAAGAGCGTTATAATGCTATGGGCAGTCCCACTTTTTGTTGGTAAAAAGTAGCCCAAGACATGGCAATGGGTGGTTTTGACTTTCTGCTTTTCCTTTAATCTTCCAATCTTGAATTAGGGACTACTAGCGCTGCTAGCCCTCAACCTGGATTAGCTTTGTGCGAAATTGAACAAAGTTGCAAGACAGAAAAACCGCTAATTTACAACAGGGTTACACTACACATTATCAATACTACTCGGGGTTATGTTTAAAGACGACCCTCCTTATAATTGTTCATTTCGATGGACAAATACATTTTGTGAAACAATTTTAAATATAGTTATTTAATTAAATCATCTTTAAAAAGTTTTCTAGTGATGATAAGAAGTATATAAAATATGCAAACGCATATATAAATTAATACTTTACAATTTTTGGAGTGTAATAAGAAATAAATACTTAATTAACACATTACAACCACGGTACAGTGACAAGCGTTGGGTGGGTTTTCCTTTTGTACTAATAGCTGTGGAAAAAAATCAATAAAATGAGCTACACATGGCATAGAGGCTAGCTTGCTTGGCTGTGAATTGGAAGGTCTAAGATTCGAGCCGGAATACGCCGCCGAAAAATATCTGCACTTTCACCTGTGGGAGTACTAAAACTAAATCAGTTAATCCTGCTAATCGTGTAGGCGGTGGATGCTGCCGTGTGATCGTCCCTCTGGTCATTAGTTCTAAGTTAAAGATGGCCATGGCCGTTTAGTCCACGAGCTCGATAAAGTGTTCTTCAGGTTGAAAATATCGGAGATGGAATGAAACATTCTGGAATGGAATCTTTGAAGTTGTCCAAGAAAAGTTAATTCTGAGTAATACTAGACTTTCCATGTCCAATATTTTCAAAGCCTAAGACTCAGCACGAGGTCATTAAGTGTCAACTACAATAGGATCATTAACATTAAGAAATCAACAAAAGAGCAAAAAATGTTAAACATAAACAAGGGATTATTTGAGATGAAACCTCGATTTTTTTTTTTAAAGAATTACAAATAATATGGCTCATTTTTAAAAACTACTTAATAAAGCTTCGTTTATCTTATTTTCAAGCATTTTTTTTCATTATGATTTTTTGTTTTCAAAGTTGTTATGATAATCATTAAAACTCAAATATGAGAGATGGGAACTTCTTATGTTTATACACGCAAGAACTGAGTTTATGAAACAAAACATTCAAATTCAGTTTGATAGATAACTTCTTAGTGTTGTATATTTTCTAATATAGTACGAAGTTTTATGTCAAGAATAATAATAAAAAAAGTAATTTTGGTGTGTAATTCATGGATTTTTATTTTAACCTCATTCTTTTAATAGCATATGACAAACGTGGAGTGAAACAAAGAACAATGAATTGCATTTTTAAACAAAAATTCGTTGTTTTTTTTTCTGTAGCGATAGTTGGTTTCTTAGTCACATTGAGAAACAGCCTTATTTATTGCGGGAAAAATGTTAAGGATTATTTGAAACAGAAATTAACTGAAATGCGCATGCGCAAGTTCATGCATTTCAATTTGTCCTTAAAACTAGACGAGGCATGACCTGGTGGTTAGGGCTCTCAACTGTCAATCTTCGTGTCGTGGGTTCTCGTCCTATTACCAAATATGGTCTCACTTCGTTTCAATGTGAGACGTCTTAATGTGACGGTCAATCTCACAATTCGCTTTTCAAATATAGTACTAATTCACATACCCTTTATGATTGTGATACCAGAAGTAAAATTATGGATCTTCGGGTGTAATATTGTTTTATTTTATTTTTTTTCCGATGCATAAAATATTAACAAATATTACTTAATCACAGCAATTAAAAAAAAACTTTTTTTTTCTTTTAAGAATTCTTTAGTATTTTAGGTTGAATATCAATAAAACTCGTCGATAATTCCTAGTCTTGTAGGACGGATGACCTTCTTTCGCGTAACCCCCCCTCTCCCCCGAGGGTGCCCGTACCGCAGCTTTAGAAACGCTTCTCTATTCGGTCAGAGTAACTCAAGAGTTGGCAATGGATGGTGTTAACCTGCTGCCTATCGCTTCTAAATTAGGAACAGTTAACTCGGGTAGCCCTCTAGTAGTTGTGTACGAAATCGAAACAAAGAAAATTACGCAAGGTTTTTAACGTTAGAAACAAAATATTTTGTAACACCTTTAAATCACCAGAAGGTCCGTATGAGTATTGAACAGTTTATCAAGGCTATGGAAAGAACGTTAAATATTTTCTGAATCTGTCACTCTGATGGTTAATGAAAAATAATTCTAAGAAAAACCATATGCATCTTAGCATAAGGGTTAACAACGTTTTTCAAAAACGATTTATCGCGAGATATCACGAATATTTCTTATCAAACACAGTCCTTCAGTGGGTCAGCTGTAAATTCATGGACTTACAACGCCAAAATCCGGGATTCGATTCCCCACGGTGGACTGAGTTCAGACAAGCAGATAGTCCATTGTGTAAATTTGATGACCCACTTAGAAGATAGAAGTTTGGAGACTACATTACTGGGTAATGAAGGTAAGTGAGGACTACATAATCTTGTCAGAACGTCGTACATTCGTACTATTGTTTACTTCATTATCCAGTCAAGCCCATTGTGTAGCATTGCGCTAAAAACGCGAACAATCTAAATCAAACGTAGATATAAAATACCCTGTATGTGTCTCCTGGTGAGACAGTGGTAAGTTTATATAAAATACCCCCTGACGAGTCTCCTGGTGGGACAGCGGAAAGTCTGTATAAAATACCCTCTGACGAGTGTCCTGGTGTGACAGCGGAAAGTTTATATAAAATACCCTCTGACGAGTGTCCTGGTGGGACAGCGGAAAGTTTATATAAAATACCCTCTGACGAGTCTCCTGGTGGGACAGCGGAAAGTTTATATAAAATACCCTCTGACGAGTCTCCTGGTGGGACAGCGGAAAGTTTATATAAAATACCCTCTGACGAGTGTCCTGGTGGGACAGTGGAAAGTTTATATAAAATACCCTCTGACGAGTGTCCTGGTGGGACAGCGGAAAGTTTATATAAAATACCCTCTGACGAGTCTCTTGGTGGGACAGCGGAAAGTTTATATAAAATACCCTCTGACGAGTCTCTTGGTGGGACAGCGGAAAGTTTACAGACTTACAACACTAAAATACGGGGTTCGATTCTTCGCGGAGGACAGAGCAGATAGCCCAATGTGGCTTTGCTCTAAAACAATCGAACCAAGCCCTCTAACGGACATTGATTTTACTTATTTCAATATAGAAACATTCGATGAAATGTAAAGAAACATTAACAGCTTTAGACTGATTATATTTCCTTTAGAACGTGCGATCGATTCTTTAGTATTGGAAGAAAATATGCAACATTTTTGAAACGTATTTTATTATTAATTGTACAACCGATTAATATAAATACAGGATCCTTTTACAGCCATTGAAAGGACGCCATATTTAATTATTGTTAGTTAACTGTAGAACGAAGGCGCTCCCATCTCTATACAATTATTGTAGTTTGTAGAAAATATTTACTTGTTCTGCAGACTTCTTGACAATGGGTACTTTGGTCGTTGGATTTGATCATAATGTCTCTCTATTGCAATTCCAGAAGTCACCAACTTGGGAGCAGTATAGGTTTCAGGTGTGGCCAAATCATCGGGGAACTCGTTTCCAAGCTCTTTTGGTGGTCGAGAAGCGATTCCTAATTTAATTTGAGCCAAAAGTTCAAATATATTAAAAACAAAATACGCACACAGCTGCATTATACATAATAAAAACATAACCACACAGTTATTCAAGTATACCTTCTAAGTAGAAAGTACAAACAGTTGAATCGAGTGTTTACAATTCGCATACATCTATGTTGCAACACAGCGTTATTAAAAACAACAATAACAAATATTTATTTTTAATAATCTCCTATATTCTTTTCAAACAATAAAAAAATAAGTCTGGTTTGTTATATTTTAAGAACATTGTCATCTGTCATATATTTCCCGTAATCAGCACCCGAAACTATAGAATCGTCCCTTGTTATCTTAGTTACCAGGATAAAGCAACACGTGTTGTCCTTTGTTCTTGATTCGCGGGGGGCATTGCTCATCTTTAAAACTTTGACTCTGAGAAACCTGAAAAAGAAAAGAAATAGATATTGAACTAACTTAGCCTAATCCAAATGTGTTTGTAATATTTGTGGTGAATGTACAACAACATTTAAACTACGGGTTTTTCTTTACTACAAAACACCAGGTTATGCTCTTCGATTTACCCCTGACAAGGACTACTGATGACGGAGGAGGTGGGAAATTCCCCCCCTACAATAGTACAAATCGCGGTCGGATAGCAACTCTAAGAATTAACTGGAAAATTATAATTTCAGCATATGTTTTAAATCATTAAGGTTTCTCACATAAGTCTATCGACTTCAAGTTATTGTAATTGTTCTCTGTCACCAAAGTTATGAATTTCTTCGCGCAAGAAAAAAAGAAGCTTAACACTCAAACCCCCTAGGTAAAACTTTGCTCCTTAATTAATGTATTCGGTTGATACTTATTACCTACACTAATAATTCAAAAAATTGGTCCAATTAGCGTTGATATAAAATACGAAATCATTCACAAAATCATTGTTCTAATCTAATTAGTGTCTGTGGAATAGGCGTTACACTTAAAAAAAAACAGAGCGTAGTAGTAAAAAATTCCTTTAAAAAATACTCGACGTTCCATTTTGACCTTAAGTTTTCTAGTAAAAAACGCACAAAAACTGAAATATTTAAATTCATTGGGCTCAATCCTGGTCAAAATTACGAAAGACGAGAGTTTATATTGATAATGTCTGTCATAAGCACCTCCATTTTTAATCTGGCGAGAAAATAAAAGATGGATGACGATACATAAAGGAATTTTCTCGACGTGGCGACGTAGATTTATTTTTTTAAACTGCTCATTCTTTTCTTTACTTATTTCGTATTTCTTTCGAATCTGTCAAAGACTATCTTCCCAAGAGCAATAAGACCCTACTGTAAGTTGATTTAATCCAGTTAGACAAGATACTTCTGATTGGCTAGAAACTCTAACATGGCTGTACAAAAGCCATGATATCGCCACTAGGTGTCTTAAGAATCGTTCTAATAGTGAGCCTGTCTGAATGTTGGTCTTATTTTTGGTAATTCAGCTATTGACTAGTCCTGGTAGGGTTTGTTTGATTTTGAATTTCGCGCGAAACTACACGAGGGCTATCTGCGCTAGCCATCCATAATTTAGCAGTGTAAGACTAGAGGGAAAGCAGCTAGTGATCACCACCCACCGCCAACTCTGGAGCTACTCTTTTATCAACGAATAGTGGGATTGACCGTCACGTTATAACGCCCCCACGGCTGAAAGGGGGCGAGCATGTTTGTGAGGAGGATTCGAACCCACGACCCTGAGATTGCGAGTCGAGCACCCTAACCACCTAGCCATGCCGGGCATTTCCTGGTAGGGAGGCTGTCTGAATGTTTGTCTTATTTTTTGGTAATTTGGCTATTGACTATTTAATTATCAAATATGTTTTTGTAAATAGATCCAGGAAGTTATGAACCAAATTAATTAAATGTAATTATTAAATATTATTCATAGATATAATTTGAAATAATTCCTGTTATAATTATTAATGACCTTACCGGGTTAGTTTGTGAACCGAGTGAAAATCGTATTTTTCTATTAACCAGACTAGACAGGCATTAAAATCTTAGTATAAAAGTTATCTAGACAGTAATTTTTAATTGTTTGTATCTTTGTTTACTTGATTTTTTACAAAGTCTTCATTTTACGAACTGAGAAAAAAGCTCCATATTATTCTTGGGATCCCAGGTTTGAATAAACACAATGACATAAGTTCGTAATAACAAATAATCTGAATTCAATCTGAGCACCATATGGGGATCAACAGGGTTTGGGGAGAATTGGAGTGTGGTAAGCTCCGGATTTTAGAGCTGTCGAGCCGGGTTCAAATCCGTTCTTACAATTAAATATTCCCTGCTGTTTAAGCTGTTGGTTCGTTATCATAGTGACCGTCAATCCCTTAACGTGTATGGTAGATTGCTGATTATTGGCTGCCTGCCACTCTATACAGTAGTTCAAACTTGGGGACAGTGGCATTTTAGCTTAAGGCACGTTGCCATATATGCAAGACACGTGTAATTTGACGTCAGCATATAACGGATTATTTACAACGAGCACTTTAGTTTAAATTTTAGACTCTTTAAAATAATGGTTTCCTAATTTGGTACCAAAGAGTTTTTTTTGTGGTCTCTCAGGATTGGCTACACTGATGTACACGGAAATTCCTACATGGATATAAGGGATCACTTAAAATAAGTGACTATGTTTAGAATTTCGTAATTTCAGCACTAGGGGGCTTTCAGGACTGGTTCCACAAATTTACTTAATGTCGATAATATTCAAAGCAAAGTTTAGAATTTTTTCGCATTATTTGTTTCCTTCATGTGTTAACTGTTTATCTTAAGCTCCAACATTGTAACCTTTCTCTGGTGAGTATGTAAACAGATAGTAGAAGGTTTTGATCGTATCTGTTTACATACTCAGACTATAATTAGTAGAAGGTTTTGATCGTAATTATAGTCTGAGTATGTAAACAGATAGTAGAAGGTTTTGATCGTATCTGTTTACATACTCAGACTATAATTAGTAGAAGGTTTTGATCGTGATTATAGTCTGAGTATGTAAACAGATACGAACAAAACTTTCTACTAATTATAGTCACAAAATCTGAGTTTTTCCTCTAATTTTGTTTAAAAAAACTACATTTTTACAATCTTGCAGAATGAAATGTTTCGTGGCGTTCATGAAAATGAAATACTTGCTTATTTATAGTTTTATTATTACTTTCTGCGCGAGTTTAAATTTCTAAATTGACAACGACTGTGTAGATTCACAAGTCTCATTTGCTTAAGCATAAAAAAAAAAGTTCTTCGAAAATAACTACGAGTTTCCATATTCAACAAGAGTATTGGAAAATGTAAATACCAGTCTATCTTATTTGCTTTATGAGGAGACGTATGGTTGGTATCTTTCCCCCATTAGCATATAAAACGTTTTGAAAAGTACAGACGTTAAGGCTTTTGTTCAATAATTTAATTTTTTTTAGACCTACACTAAGAATTTAATAAACTCAGCAACGATAATATATGAAAAACATCTAACCGGTTTGCGGCGAACTGGGATATCATAGGTATGGAAACCACTTTCTGACGTCAGTTGGCCCCAAGAAAAACTAATTCCTCTGTCTGTCTGTAGCTCATCAGAGTTTACAGAAGTTCCACTAGGACCATAGGGATTTGGATAAGGTAGCTGTTCTCGGCTGTAACGTAGGCGGTGGTCAGACGGTGGGCCTCCACCTTCTGTTTCACCTTCGCCCGAATATACAGATAACCTACTGGTGGCGTATGGTGATGGAAAATAGAGTTGTTCACGACTGTGATGTAAACGAGGATCTGATTGGTTGGGTTTATCCCATACTGCCATAGGCACAGCCTCTCCCGTCTTTCCTGTGTAATTTTCTCTCGCGACTATAAGATAAACAAGATGTATATAATGTAAGAATACATTATTAATTATAAATAGCTCTAAAAGTTCATTATTGGAATAATACAAACTGTTAATTTTTTGTTTTATTTGCTTCGATTTTCTAATAGTATTGAATAATACGTTTTTGCCTGTAGCTAAGATGTGTATATATATATAAAAAAAAGAAGTAAATATTAACTTTGAATTTTTAACCAGATATACATTTATAATATATAATGTATTACTAATGATACATCCCAGTCAAATTATCTTTGTCTGGCCTGGATACAGTGTTTTGCTGCCTACCCGTAGAAGTTCATTCCGTTCACATCGAGGTAAAATTGGCACGTAAATCTCGAAGATTAACCCTAGTCTTTGATCGGCCACGAGTGAGGCGCTTCGAACGTTTACGGCATACTTCTGCTCATTTTGTTTGCGCAAGCACGTGTTATGATTCTCAAAGCATTGGGTCTTGGAAAATATATTTAAAGTATTGTTAAAGCAAAACTGGTGGGCATCCACTTTCAAAGGATACTGGACATGTCGAATGAAGTGGAGAATAGTCATAAACACGGGCGTCCGAACAGTAAACACCTATTGGAACCCGGGTGCTCGGGATGACATATGCAAAAGTCTCTTCAAGACAGAGGAAGTGCCTGAATCTTCTCTGTAATAACATTTTTTTATGAGGTTCTGTATACAGATAACATGAATTTTCCCCTACGTATTTGTGTGCAGTAAATTTCCCTTGTAAGAAAAACATTTCGTACTGCTCAATTCTACTCAAGCTTCCAATCTATATTTACAAGTCACGGATATTTGTCTATTTAATTCCCACCAAACATGCTCGCCCTCTCAGCCGTGGGGGCATTATAATGTGAGGGTCAATCCCACTATTCGTTGGTAAAAGAGTAGCCCAAGAGTTGGCGGTGGGTGGTGATGACTAGCTGCCTTCCCTCTAGTCTTACACTGCTAAATTATGGATGGCTAGCGCAGATAGCCCTCGTGTAGCTTTGCGCGAAATTCAAAAACAAAACAAACTTACTATCAAAGAATCCAAGCTACTTCATTCTACTGTCATGGTAATAGATGGACGGGGATTCGAACCCGCGACCCGCAGATTGCGAGTCGAGCGCCCTAACCACATGGCCATGCCGGGCCTTTGATAGTAAGTAAAATATCTTTCAGTAACGCTTGAACTTTTCCCTTTAATTCGTGGATACGTTATTCTAGTATATTTCATTGTAGATTCGTTTTCAGTATTCACCCGGAGGGCAAATGTGGTCAAGGAAACTGACCGCGGTTTTTCATCATATCGGTCAATTTGCAAAAAACTACACTTGAAACTATCAAACGTGTTCAAGTAGCGCAAAACAATAATTTTCAAATCTCTCACTACACGTCCCCCGGTAAGTCTACGAAATTGAAACGCTAAAATTCAGGGTTTGATTCTTCGCGGTTGACACAATAGATAGCTCAATGTGGCTTTGTTATAAAAAACAAACTCTCACTACACAGTATTCAGAAGTAAGTTGAGCGTCGTGGATCTGATGATGATGATACGTTACACGTTTCGACTCAAACTGCTTAATTTCGACGCCATTACTACCATGTGATAACATCCGTCGACATTCTAGGCAAAGCTACACAAGGGCTATCTGAGCTAGCCGTCCCTAATCTAGCAGTGAAAGACTAGAAGGAAGGCAGCGAGGCAACTCTTGGGCTACTCTTTTACCAACGAATAGTGGGATAGACTGAAATATTATAACGCCCGCACAGCTGAAAGGGCGAGCATGTTTGGTGTGACGGGGATTCGAACCCGCGACCTGCAGATTGCGAGTCGAGCGCCGTAATCACCTGGCCATGCCGGGCCAGCACTGTCGAATGGTCGAGAATTCGTCAAGAACAAAACATATCAGGGCTAAAAATGACCACTGAGCCACGACCCGAAAGTGTGCCGATAAGTGTGCTATCATCATATACAGATCGTTCGTATACATTGTGGTCAATCATTTGTATTAAAGAACAACTGGAATTAAGGTACATCATTGCACTGTCGATTGTTTCTTTGTTATGGATTTCGCGCAAAGCTCTACGAGGGCTATCTGCGCTAGCCGTCCCTAATTTAAGAGTGTAAGATTAGAGGGAAGGCAGCTAGTCATCACCACCCACTGCCAACCCTTGGGCTACTCCTTTACCAACGAATAGTGGGATTGACCGTCACATTATAACTTCCCCCACAGCTGAAAAGGCAAGCATGTTTGGTGGGACGGGTGATTCGAACCCGCAACCCTCAGGTTGTGAGTCAAGCGCCCTAACCGCCTGGCCATGTCGGGGGCTTAGACTCGAGGGAAGACAGCTAACTGTTCAACAGCACCACGAACAACTCTTGTATGACCGAATAGTAGGATTTCACCACCACTATTATAACGCATTCACGGCCCCAAATTGCAAAGCGTGTTTTTTCTTTGCGGTAACAGGACGCGAACAATGGACCCATAAGTTTGTAATCCTGCAGGCTAACCATTAGGTCAGTCGGTATCGATAGTTAGGAACGGGGATGAAAAGAGAGGACAGA